GGGTGACACCGGGTGGTGCTGGGTGCCGCCGGGTGACACCGGGTGACGCCGGGTGACAGCGGGTGATGCTGGGTGACACCGGGTGACGCCGGGTGGTGCTGGGTGACACCGGGTGACAGCGGGTGCCGCCGGGTGACAGCGGGTGCCGCCGCCGTGTCCCCGCAGCGCTGGGCGAGCGGCAGGAGCGGGGGCTGGTGGAGATCCTGGTGGCCGCCGCGCGCCGGGCCAGCGCCGGGCAGCCCCCCCCGGGCCGCGGCAGCGCCCCCAAGGTACCGCGGGGACACGGGGGGACACGGGGGGACACCCCGGGGGGGGACGCTGGGGGAGGGGACAGCATGGGGACAGCCTGAGGACATGGGGACACCCCGGGGACACCCTGGCGACACCGCGGGGATGTGTCCCCACCCATGTGTCCCCACTGGGGGGGACATAGGACACCCTGGGACACCCCGGGGATACCCCGGGGACACCATGGGGACAGCCCAGGACAGCCTGGGGACGTGGGGACACTGCAGGGACACCCCGGGGACACTGTGGGGACATGGGGACACCCCAGGGACACCCTGGGGATGTGTCCCCACCCATGTATCCCCACTGGGGGGGACACGGGGCACCCTGGGGACACCGTGGGGACACCCTGGGGACACCGTGGGGACACCATGGGGACAGCCCAGGACACCCTGGGGACATGGGGACACCCCAGGGACAACGCAGGGACATCCTGGGGACACCGCGGGGATGCCCTGGGGGCACCCCAGGGAACAAGGTGGGGACACCCTGGGACACCCTAGGGTCCCCACCCGTGTGTCCCCACCAGGGGAGACATCCCGGGACACTCTGGGGACACCCCCAGACACCCCTAGCTGTGTCCCCACATGTCCCCATGTGTCCCCGCGTGTCCGCGCGTGTCCCTGTGTGACCCCGCGTGTCCCCACGTGTCCCCAGGTCTCAGCCCGGGAGTGCCAGGAAGGACACGGGGACACCCCCGAGCCGTGTCCCCACCCCATGTGTCCTCACACTGCGTGTCCCTGCGTGTCCCCACGTGTCCCCGCGTGTCCTCACGTGTCCTCACGTGTCCCCACGTGTCCCCAGGCCTCGGCCCGGGAGCGCCGCGCGCGGGCGGACGAGCGGAGCCGCCTCAGCCACTGCCTCATCCCGGTGCTGCCGCAGCTGCTGGCCAAGGTGGGGACACGGGGGGCTCGGGGGGACACGGGGGACCCGCGGGGTTCGGGGGGGCCCGCGCTGACCCCGTTCTCCCCATCCTGTCCATCCCATTGGTCCCGTTGGTCCCGTGTGTCCTGTAGGTCCCGTTGGTCCCCTTGGTCCTGTCAGTCCCATTTGTCCTGTTGGTCCTGTCGGTCTCGTTGGTCCCACGTGGCCCGTTTGGCCCGTGTGTCCCATTGATCCTGTCAGTCCCATTGGTCCCATGTGTCCTGTCAGTTCTCTTGGTCCCATTGATCCCGTTTGTCCCTTTGGTCCCATTTGTCCTGTTGGTCCCGTGTGTCCCGTTGGTCCTGTGTGTCCCATGTGTCCCATGTGTCCTGTCGGTCCCATTGGTCCCGTGTGTCCCGCTGGTCCCGTGTGTCCCGTTGGTCCCATTGGTCCCATGTGTCCTGTTGGTCCCATTGGTCCCACATGTCCTGTGTGGCCCATTGGTCCCGTGTGTCCCATGTAACCCATGTGTCCCACTGGTCCCATGTGTCCCGCTGGTCCCATGTGTCCCGCTGGTCCCATGTGTCCCATGTGTCCTCTTGGTCCTGGGTGTCCCATGTGTCCCGTGGGTGCCGTTCTGGGCAGTTCTCTGCCGACGCGGACAAGGCGGCGCCGCTCCTGGAGCTCCTGCAGTGCTTCGACCTGGGCGTCTTCTGCACCGGGCGGCTGGAGAAGGTGCCAAGAAGGGTGGGCCCCCCCCACCACGGGGACGGGGGGCACCCTTGGGTGCCCTGACCCGCCTTGTGGCTCCCGCAGCACCTGGAGCTGCTGCTGGAGCAGCTGGGCGAGCTGGTGGAGAAGCACCAGGCGGCGGCGGTGCTGGAGGCGGCGGCGCGCGCCCTGCACGGGCTCTGCGCCCCGGGGCTGGCGCTGCGCGCGCGGCCGGCGCTGGCGCGTGGGCGGCTGGCCGACCGGCTCGCGGGGCGCCTGCGGCACCTGCTCCAGGTACCGGGACACGCGGGGGACACGGGGGGCACACGGGGGCCGTCGGGGCCGTGTCCCCAGCCGTGTCCCCGCCAGGCGCCGTCCCTGGACGACGAGGAGCTCTACAGCCTGGCGGCCACGCTGCGGCGCCTGGGCGCGCTCTTCAAGTGAGTGCCACCGCGGGGACACCCTGGGGTGCCACCCACACTGTCCCCTGGGGTCCCCTGGGTACTGCCGGGACACCCGCGCTATCCCCAGGGTCCCCTGGGGTCCCCTGGGTCCCCTGCCACCCACACTGCACTGTCCCTGGGGTCCACTGGAGACAGACGTGCCACCCGTGCTGGCGCCAGGGTCCCTGGGGTCCCCTGTCACCCACCCAGCACTGTCCATGGGGTCCCCTGGGTCCCCTGCCACCCACACTGCACTGTCCCTGGGGTCCACTGGGTCGCCTGTCACTCACCTGGGATTGCCCCCGGGATCCCTTGGGGTCCCCTGGCGCCTCTTGGGGGCCCCCTGGGGTGCAGTGTCCCCAGTCTCTGAATCCCTGGGTCCCCCATCACCCTGTTCCCTGGTGTCCCCTGCACTCCCCGTGCCCCTGTCCCTTGGTGTCCCCACATCTTGTCCCCCCCATCACCCCTGCTGTGCTCCCCCTGTTCTTGTCACCCGCGCTGTCCCCACCTCTTGTCCCCTCCCCTTGTCCCCTCCCCGTGCTCCCCTGTCCCGTGCTGTCCCTGTCCCCTGCACTGTCCCTGTCCCTGTCACCCACGCTGTCCCCGTCACCCACGCTGTCCCTGTCACCCGCGCCGTCCCGGTGCCGCAGCGCGCACGACCTGACGCCCTGGCAGCTGCTGGAGCCCTGCACGCAGCTGCTGCAGCGCGCGCTGGACACGGGCGAGGTGCCCGCGGAGGTAGGGGACACCGGGGACACCCTGGGGACACCCTGGGACACCGCGGGGACACTCTGGGGATGCCTTGGGGACACCCTGGGACACCACGGAGACACCCTGGGGACACCCCAGTACACCCCAGGGACATCCTGTGGGGACACCCCGGGGACACCCTATGGGGACACCCTGGAGACACAGCCTGGGACTCCTTGGGGACACTCTGGGGACACTGGGGACACCCCGGGGATGCCACGTAGACACCTTGAGGACGCCCCAGGGACACCCTGGGACACCCTGGGGACACTCTGTGGATACCCTGTGGGGACACCCTGGGGACATCCCGGGAACACCCGGTGGGGACACCTTGGGGACACTGCAGGGACCCCCCCGGGGACACCATGGGGACACTCCTGGGACACCCTGGAAACACTTCAGGGACCCCCTGGGGACACTCTGTGGGGACACCCCATGGGGACCCCCTGGGGACAGCTTGGTGACACCCTGGGGACACTGTGGGGACCCCCTGGGGACACCCCGGTGACACCGCGGGGACACGGCGCGGCGCCGCAGGTCCTGGTCCCGGCCATCACCTGCATCCACTTGCACCTACTCTGGGAGCTGTCACACGTGCCCAGCACCGGCGCCACCCAGGTGAGCGGCCACCGCGTCCCCAAGGGCCACCGCTGCGTCCCCAAGGGCCACTGCGTCCCCAAGCGCCACCGCTGCGTCCTCAAGGGCCACTGCATCCCCAAGGGCCACCGCGTCCCCAAGGGCCACCGCTGCGTCCCCAAGGGCCACCGCGTCCCCAAGGGCCACCGCTGTGTCCCCAAGGGCCACCGCGTCCCCAAGGGCCACCGCTGCATCCCCAAGGGCCACTGCTGTGTCCCCAAGCGCCACCGCTGCGTCCTCAAGGGCCACTGCATCCCCAAGGGCCACTGCTGCGTCCCCAAGTGCCACCGCTGCGTCCCCAAACACCACCGCTGCATCCCCAGGGGCCACCACGTCCCCAAGTGCCACCGCGTCCCCAAGCGCCACCGCTGCATCCCCAGGGGCCACCACGTCCCCAAGTGCCACCGCGTCCCCAAGCGCCACCGCTGCATCCCCAGGGGCCACCACGTCCCCAAGGGCCACCGCGTCCCCAAGTGCTCCTGTCACATCCCCAGGTGCCACCGCATGCCCAAGCATCCCTGCGGCCACATCCCCACGTGTCCCCTCCATGGCCATGTCCCCCCGTGGCCATGTCCCCACCGTGTCCCCCATGTCCCCTCCATGGCCCTGGGTCCCCACATGTCCCCCATGTCCCCGCATGCCTCCCATGTCCCCTCCCTGTCCCCCATGTCCCTACACGTCCCCCACATCCCCGCCGTGTCCCCCACGTCCCCGCGTGTCCCCCATGTCCCCTCCATGTCCCTACGTGTCCCCCACGTCCCCGCGTGTCCCCCGTGTCCCCACTGTCCCCCCAGGAGCAGCTGCGCCGCCTCAGGGACCAGGCCACCTTGTTCTGCTCCCAGTGCCAGAGCTGCCTGTGCGACACGGACCCCGGCGTCCGGGAGCAGGTGGGGACACGGGGGGACATGGGGACAGCATGGGGGGGGACACGGGGACAGCACGGGGGGGACATGGGTCCAGCATGAGGGGACGCAGGGACGGCTCAAGGGGACACGGGGGGACACGGGGACAGTGCAAGGGGACACGGGGACAGCGTGGGGGGCCATGGGGAGGGCA